AAGCTCTCTCAATTCAAAATCATAAGAATAATGGGAATTACATAGATACCAACATTAGGTCATACCGAGAAACAGGGCTGAGTATTGCTTATCCAGAAACAGCAAATCGCTTCTCTCCCAAAAAGTTGTATATCTGCAGTTTAATAACAAATAAACATATTAAGCAACTTGCTTCTAAGATTCACAGGAATGAAATAATACAAACTGCTGTTTAGAGAAAGGAAGAAAATACAGCATAAAAATAATTTCAGTTTTTTGAAAGGTATTATCGTTGCATGATTTGTCACCAAAGGGTTAGATGCCTTTTCCTTTTTCTGCATGACAAAAAAATCTTTTTTCTAGGTTGGATGATCCCTTTAAATATTTTATGTAGACTGACTTTGTAAAACCGACAAACTTCCTTTGAAATTCAGAAGAATGATAAAGAGCTCCAGGTGAGTTTTTGAAATTATTAGTCAGTCAACTAGATGGTGTTTTATTTCTAACCCAAAAAGATTGAAAGTGTTTGAAGAAAATGAGAAGTTGGTACAGCCATGGTGAATCTTTTATGCATCACTCCAGGCAGAGCTGGGAAGGATAAGATAATTATAACACCACATGTAGCCAGAGTGTTTCAAAAATGTACATATATACTTTTCTTTTTTTAATCCCAGAGGATAGATAGAGGTCTTTGTAGTTAATTTAACAAGTGGCCACATTTCCAAGAAAGGAACATTTGTGGAAGTGTATTGAGATTCAGACTGCACTGTGCTTGGTGGTGTGAAACTGAAGCGTATGAAGTTCGACTGTTGGGAAGCTCAGAGAGGAAGACTCAGCTAGGCGAAAGCTCGGTCTGCTGTTTGACAGCCGCTCTGATCAGACGTGTTTCACGTTGCTCACTGTCAGTAAGGAAGCTTCGCTTTTACATCTGGGTGACACCTCACACAGGAGACCTACTGTACAGACCAGAGGGAAATGGAAAGAAAATACCAGAAATGGTGTCAGAAATTATACAAAAGAACCACAGCGATACTCCACATGGAATAGACTCCCTTTATGCCAAATCCAAATACTGTACACGGTGACTTAAAATAGTAGATTAAGAAATGAAGTGAAAATTGATGGACAAAAACATGTTTATGCTGTAATATATTAGCACAGAAGTTGCTTCCAGCTGTACAGGGTTGCAATTCCTCTAACATTAATTAAATAGTTTTAATAAGAGCCGATAAAACTCAGCCCCAGAGAAAAACAAGTGGACTCTGACCGAGCCTGCAGGGAAAGTAAACGGTTTTAGTTAAATTAAAAGCATCAGAATTAGCTGAAATGTGGCTAATTTAAACATTTTCAATTCCTCTTTGTAATCTCATCAGATAATCAGTCCAGAAGGGGTTTCTCTACTGGAAGAGGCTCTGCAGTTCAAGAAGTTTAACAAGATATCTTAAAGATAAAAAAAAATGCAGAAAAAGCCTCTGTGACTATGTGAATTACCACTTGTCGGATGCTGCCTAGACGTCCCAAAATGTTTAATTAAGCAATGGAGATTTTCCTCTGTATAAACTAACTGTAAAACTGTGTGGATGGATACAGCATAATAACAAGAAAGGAGGGAAGGCAGGACTTGAGTGAGACATAAATGCGCTAGTAGGTCATCCATGGTGTGACTAATCTTTGTAGTTTGGACATTGGGAATTTAAAGGCATTCTGCCCTCATATCAAGGATACAACCTCATCATTCCCATACCTGACCAGCATTGGAATTGCTATGTGAGCAACTTCCTCCCAGCTTGTATATGTTTTGCTTATCAGGTAATGATGCTCTCATGAGGAAAGAAGCGGCCACACCTCCAAATTGTGCAGTTTTATGGGAGACTGAGTGAAATGATCAAGACTTTAGAAATGTATTAAATTAAACAGGTGTTGTAAAACTGGAGCCTCTAGTGTGTATTTAGTTCAGAAGAAAAAGTTCTACATTAAAGCAGCATTTATCCTTGCCAGGGAGACCAGATACTATGTTTCTGTCTTTTCTGGTCACAAAGTATTGTACTAACTACTTAGGAACCACAGGAAGAGATTCTCATAAACAAAGTAGATAGTTTTGCACAAATAGGAGTGTTGAAATATCCTTGAACCAAAGGAGTTTAGCTTCTGACCAAAACATCAACAGCATCGGAGGTGTTTGCAATATAAGACTCACATCTAGCCTTGTCTAACAGGTGTTCTGCTTGAGTGAATACTTTTATGCAATAAAGGAAACAAAACAAGCTCACATTCAGGTTATTAAATAGAGGAATAAAGGACCAATATTTTTTTTTCCCATCACAAGTCCCTGTACAGTTATTGAAACACTTCTTCAGCAGCGCTTGGATCAAATGTCTTTTATCGGAGCTCCTCTTCCCACCATAAAAGACATTTCATCCCAGCGCTGCGTGTCCTGAGCCCCTAACATCATAAATGACCCCTCACACCCCAACCATGAACTGTTCCCCCTGCTGCCGTCTGGGAAGAGGCTTCAAAGCATCAGATGCAGGTCCAGCAGATTCCAAAACAGCTTTTCGCCCCCTGCCATCAGACTACTGAATGTTGAACAAAACGAGAGGAAAAAAAAAGCTGAATGTTGAATAAAACAACAAAGAAAAAAAGCTGAATGTTGAAAAAACTGTAAATCATATCTTAGTCCTATGTTTGCATTTGATCGCCTTGTTTACATTTGATCATTGCTGCACTTAAAGCAATGGAAATGTCTTGAGAGCTTTCCTGAACAAAGTTGCATTTTGTATACACCCTGTGTATACAAAATGACAAGAAAATTTGTCTAAGTCTTCAGACTGGTCATCCTGGGTGTGAAATGTTTAGTGTTGAGTAAAAATTTTTTTTTTTTTTTTGAAAAGCAAAAAAAATCTATGAGAACCTCTTCCAAAAATTTACTTTGAATTCAAGTACCAACATAAGAAGACAGACCACTTCACAGCTTTGGTTAAAAAAGCATGCTGCTAGGATGTGCCGCTTCCTATAAAGAATATCCATAGCGAAATTTCTCACATTCTAGTGCGGATGTGATAACTGTTGCCGTATCATTGTGATAGGATGTCTTTGAAAGCTGCAGGGTAAACACCATCCTAGAGACAATGAACCCTCGTCTAATCCGACGTGAAAGGGCCCAAAAGCAACATAAGCATCAAATATTTTGCAGGGGTTTCTCATTTACATAATATACTGCATTACTCACATAAAATGTGATACAAATTCTTGAATTCCTTTCCATCTGGTTTTAGGAGAAAAGAAAAATAAACAATTGCTGTAAAAAATGTGATACTACTCATTTTAACCTTTCCATTGTACTTATGTACAGCTGTGTTTTATTCTGCTGTTGATAGTTCTGTAATAATAGATTTTGCAGAGCCATAGCCGCAGGTCATGATGCACATTTATCTGTCAGGTTCCAAGCAGTTTTGGTATCCCAGTGTTTTAAATACTATCATATTGGATATAAAAAAACTGGTAGGGATGGTTCCAGTGCCGCTCTGAACACTGGCGAACCGGGACTGAAAAAAGAAGGGGAAGTTCCTGTGGTTAGTTCAGGCTCAGTTGGAAATTTAAAGTTTTGATTTGCAAAAGGGAGTAAGGCAACAGGACTCACGGTTCCAGAAAACCTGTCTTCCTTTGAATCCAGTCGGTGCAGGTTGTTCCAGAAATTGGTTTGCTCGTCGGAAGGCGAACAGGGTTTACCCAGGTTGTTTCCTTCAGAAAGGGAGGAGCTGACTGCCACTTAGATTTCCTTCGGTACTAGAACGGATCTTGTGGAGATTAATTCCCTGCTCAGTGTGAAGCTCAAACAATCCTTTTGGGAAAAGTAGATCCAAATCTCCAGTTTGAATCCCCAGCTCAGTTTGAAGCTCAGACGATCCTTCCAGGGGGAGAAGGTCCAAAACATCCAGTTTACAGGATGACTTCCTGCCGGGAGGCAAAGACAAAACAACAGGATTAAGACTCAGGTTGACAAAAACTCAGTTTGACTCAGCAAAACTCAGCTTGGCTAGAGTACCCAAAACTGGCAAACACTCTGGCGTCGAGGTAGTGGCAGCTTAAGAGTCCTCAGGTAATGAGGCAACCGTCTGCAGGTGTGTGAGAGGACCAACGAGAACCAGGCGCCACCTGGTGGCAGAGGGACAACAAACAAAAACACAACCCACACAAACTGGATTCCTAACAGAATGGACATTACAGGTGAACACCACATGTTTCCATACAGTACATAAAAAGTACTTTCTCCTACTAACAGACTTTAAATCAATGCAAACATTTGCTGATTTAGTCCTTCTATCTTAAAAAATGAATCTATTTGATAAATATCATAAAGAAAAACAAGTTTTTGTTACAGTCCATGCCAATATCTGGTTATAATTGTTTGCATGCTGTCAGTGCTATTCGACCATGTATTTTTATGAATGTTATCAGAGTTTGACACGTTTTCATATAAATATTTTTTAGGGGTTTGCATTTATGTTGCCATCTACAGTTTGCATTTTGTGATGTAAAGTCAGCCCTCGGCTTTACCAGAGCTTCTGAAATATAATCCCTTTTCTTTGCTCAGATTTGAACAATTGAATAGAGGGTAAAATAGCAACCAAGGAAATGTAAAAATCTGAGAAGTGGTTTTGATCTTAAGTCTATGGGGTCTGGCTTCCCCAAGAGGGAGGAAACTCAAAGAAGATCATATTCCTCTGTTTTGCCCAGGGCCCTTGAGCTAATCCCTTTCGATTTACTTTCCGCTGAAATCAAAAAACTGCCATCATTTCCTCTGTGTACCACAATGACCAGACCCACCGAGGGAAAATTAGTTGGCTGTGGCAGGTCATCCTCTCAGCACGACACATCTGCTTTGGTCTCTGCAGAAAGTGGCGGCGTCGGCCGCCGTCTTTGTCTGGAGAAGCATGTACGGAGACAAGCATGTATGACATGTTGAAGGCAACGTCTGAATGCCTGCCGTCACACTTCTTTTCTCCCCTTTCTGTTTGCAGTGATAACATTCTGGTTCTGGATATCTACTTTGAAGCGCTGAACTATGAAACCATTGAACAAAAGAAAGCCTACGAACTGGCAGGCCTTCTGGGTAAGGAAATGACTGTCAAGTGTTTTTTCTTGGGTAAAGATAACATGCAGTGTTTAGCCTGGCAGACACTATTTTTTTTACCCATCATGAAAGCAGAGTCAATGCATGCATTTTACAATAGGTGCTCAGAACCCTAAAGATGTAAAACTGTCTCTTTAATCTATTGTTGCCTTCAAGCTGCAGATTTTTGAACATTTTAATTTTTCTGTTGTATTTCTCGTCCTTCGGCTTGAAAGCGACTTTAATGCACTCGTAAATGCAGAAAAGTGATTACCATCTCTCTTACATGCTTTATCGCTTCTCTTTTCAGGCGATATCGGAGGTCAGATGGGTCTCTTCATAGGAGCCAGTATCCTCACTGTTCTTGAGCTCTTTGACTATCTGTATGAGGTAAAATATCACCCACCATCTGCTGTAATGGCAACCGTCTGCAATGATGATTGTTGGTAGGAATGTTAAAGAGAAACAAGGGAAAGAAGCTGCTTTTTTTCTGTAAGGAAAATATTGGAGCTTATTTATAGATGCATTCCAGCTCACCTGATATGAAAACAAGTAAATATTTGGATGATTTCCAGAAGCTAAAAGAAAAAGTAACACTATGCTTGCTTTTTTTTTTTTTCTTTAGGTGATCAAGTACAAGCTGTGCAGATGCATGAAGAAGAAACACAAAGGCCGCAGCAACAACGATCGGGGAGCTGTGCTGAGCCTGGATGATGTGAAACACCATGTCAGTATAGGCAGCTGCAGAGTACTTTGACTGTGTCAGACTGCATTGCTTTGACAGGAGCAGGCTCCTTTCTTCTTTGTCTCTACTGGCCTCGATTGCCGGCAGGGTGGTGTTGGCGAGAGAAAGAGAGAGAACAGACCGAGATGGAGGAAAAAGGGATTGAAAGAGGCTAAAAGAAAGCGGAGCAGGGAAAAGAAAAGCAATTGGGATGAGAGGGAAGGAAGACCGAGAGGGAGTTGTTGGAGAAGAGGCTTGGATTTAATCAAAGCAGCAGAACAGTACCAGCAGGGACAGGCCAGAATTAAAGCTTCAGAAGGTGTGACAGCTTACTTATAACCAAGTGTAAATAAAACCCGCTCACTTTAATTGTGAGTCAGAGCGCAGGCAGAGAAAAACAGACAGGCGCTCCTCCACTCCTGCCACACTTAACAGTCTTCCCATTCCATTCACCTTCATTATTTTTCCAAGTCTTTCTCAGGAATCTATTATCTCTACACTCCCAACCCAACCTGTTGCTCTATTCCTTTTTTTTTCTAGTAAAAGAGACATTCAAGATTATCTCCTGTTCTGCACATTTATGCAGAATCTTTCAGTTTCCCACTCGCAACCATTTCAATATCTGCCTTTTTATTTCCTCAGGCTCCTTGTGACAACCTGCGTACACCATCTTCATACCCCGGGAACATGCTACCTCACCATCCAGGCCAGGGCAACTTTGAAGACTTCACTTGCTGAGCAGACCTCAGTAAAGCATCACCGTGCGTGTTATGCAACCAAAGCCGACCGTGCAGCAAGAACTATCTGACGCACAGACAGGGAGGAACTGATGCTGATGAATATAACAGAGGCACTTTTTACATAGAAACTAATAATAAAATATAAAAAATATTAAACACGATAAAAGGATTTTCATCTAAAAGCCAAGTGAAGACAAAAGCCCTGAAGATTAAAACGTATATTTTGATTTTTAGACAAACATTTCATGCAACGCTCGAAACTCTTTGCGTTTTCCTCTGGAATACTGCCACAGCGGATACTGGTGGAGAAGGCTGGCCAACAAGGAACCTTCTGTGAAAAAAAAAAAAAAATAGGAAAAGAAAAAAACATTAAAGGTTACTGAAAATTGTACAGTAATTTCACCGCAAACAATAAAAAAACCTCCATGCCTTTATGTATGTGAGACAAGAACATGATGCGACCATATGACCACCACATCTGCTTCTGTGATGATATTCATGACGCTAACTCCACTGTACATGTAGCAACACAAGGAGAGGAACAGCTGCTATAGTCGGCTTCAGAATGCAACTCTGCTCATCGCTGATGAGGACATTTTAATGGTGGGGGGAGCAGAAGCAGCAGCGGAGGTGAAACAATTAACATATGAAAATGTACTGGTGAAAATTTCAGGTCTCATTTTCATGGTAATGCATGCTTGTATCTGTCCAGTGCATGTTTTTTTTTCTTTTCATTTCTACTTCTAGTTGAGTTTAATGTCTTCATGTTCTGAACATATAAATATATATATGAATATACATTTACATTGTAATTACAAAGTCTGCTTCAGTGATGAGCAGGTAGACGAAGATGATTTGTGTGTTTTTTGCTTACTGGTGTGTGTGTAGGGGTGTGTGTGTGTGTGCAGGGCGTCATCTGTAATGCCCAACCTGGTGAGTGTTGGCTAATCGTCCTGTTCCGTTTCTCACATGTGCCGAATGAGTTGAAGAATCTTCGCTCACCTTCATTTAAGTTTGCATTGACCTCAAAAAAAAGGTGATTTCTTTTTATAACTATCGGTTCTATTTCTGTTCATGTTTATTCATGAATAACTTGCATTTCTCTGGGGCTGCTAGAAATGTTCACTATCTGTTATCTAGTTGCAAAAGTCTTACCGAAGCACAATATTGCAAGTGTGTAGAGATGATCTAAAAGAAAACTTACTATTGTTCTTGATATATTGTCATATTATGATCATGTTAATCCCACTTTTTTTGTTTTGTTTTTTTTTTCATATCATTCTTGTTAAGTTTGAAATGACCATTTCTGGTTCAGGGTAAAGGCCTGGCCTGTCCATTTAGTTACCGGGGCATAAATAAAATGTAACTATGGTTTTTGAAATTTGTTTGTCTTGTGAGGATTTCTTCTCAATAGCAAATTAACTTTTAAAAGCTTTGATTTGGTCGAGCAAACAGAGGCAGACGATGTTTTTTCATCACCAAGTAGAGTGTGAAGTTGTGTTTTTAATCACAAGTTGCTCTTGGTAAAATCTGATTAAGATTCATCCGGGGTTACATCAGCTAATCAGCTTGTAATTTGGAGTGTTGCCTTACAACACTTTATTTTGAATTAAATCAGCTTTAAAAAAAAAAAAGGGTTTGGGGGAAACGAATGTGGCATTAAAGAAGAAATGGCTTAACTCTGTCAACCCTTCATTTGTTCCGCTGTTTAAATGCTGTAAGCCACAATGTTTCTGTTTTTTCGAGTCCATGCCTTTAAAATGTAATTACAGTTTCAGTAGTTAAGTGACAAAAGGATGGATGGGGAATATCTTGCACTGCCAGTTTAAGTTTAATCAATATTGTCAATCAACCAGCAGTTGAACACTATGGGCGACAACTATTGGTTTTTTTTCTTTAGATCTGCTGCTGCCAACTGGTGCACATGTAGCTGTTATGTGATGCGTGACTTTCTTAATATTGGAACCCAAAAAATAATGTATTTGCCGCTCGCTGTGTGAGGCGTCGTGGGTCATCTGACGAGGAGAGCGGTCGTTTTGCCTTATAATTCTTTCATGATTTCCTTTAGCGGTGGACGCACACGTTTTTTTGTTGCCCATCAAAATTGAGAGCACATTTATTTTTTATCAGTTCACAGGAGAAGCCTCCGCCGGTGGCTACACATGAATATACAAGCTTAAAATTTCACGCCAAGAATCTGTTATGTCTGATGAAGACTTTACTGTGTTTAAATGTGTGAAACATGACTTTTCCCTCCAGCGGTTTTTTTTAACTGGTGTTGTACCTGCCGAGAAGACAAATTAATTAAGAAATAAAGAGTGAAGGTGTTCATTTCCTGCTGGCATTTGTGTCTTTGTCTACTCGACAGCCTGCAGCTCAAAGAATTGTAAAGAGGGTCAGGATACAGGAGAGCTGCCTGCCAGTGACAGAAATCCTGCAGGAGATGCTTGCTGCATCCTGATAAGACTCCACAGGCAAAGTGCAGGGGGGTGGGGGTTGTGTGGGAGGCGTTAACACCGGCAGGAGTTCAGGCAAACTGAAAATCCTCACCCAAAAATGAGGGATTAACATGACTTTTCCTGCCATCTCGGGGGTCTTAATTGCTCAGTTTCTCATGTTGGCAGATTCTGAAGTCCTGGCAACAGCATCGCTCTTCTCTGAATAAGGTTAAATCATTACGCGCCCTCTTCCCTCCTCGACATTACAATCAAAGATGACTGATCCCCCTCTTTTAACGCTCACCTTGGTTGCTGATATGCAGCCAGTTTTAGGCGGTATAACAAGCAGATGCTTCTATAATGGGATCTGTCCCAAACTTTCTGGTCTTTTTGAGATGCTGGGACACCCTTAGGGTAATTCCTGCAGGCAGCTTCTTGCATGTGAGTTATAACAGGGCCCTTCTTATGCAGGGAACCTCTGGAGTTTATTTTTAATAAACTTGTTTTCCTCCATATCTGTCAGTTAAATCTTGCTGTCTGCTGCCATGCACTCTTACACAAAGAGGAGGTAATTCCCTCCTAATCCTGTTATCGTAATATCAACTTCGACACAGATATTATAGTCCTTATTCACAATCCCCCTGTGTGGCGAGCTGCGTTTTCTCATTGCATTATGAATGCTCTCCAAAAATCAGCAGGTCAGAATTAATCTGCAGGTATAAGTAGCTGCTGGCTTTATTTCTTCAGTGCAGGTGTGCTGTTGACAGCCTGTGTGAAATCTGTTGGCTTTTTTTTTTATTTACTGTCTTGTTTGCAGTAAATTTGTCATTTCTTGCAGTAAATACAGAATACAGTTTTTAAATTATGATTTAATTTATTAATGCATCAAATCTATCAAAACCTGTTACTATATGAAAACAAACAGCATCAACAACTACCATCAAGAGTTTATAATCAGTACTTAAAATCGCTCTGTAGCTAATTTTGTCCCTGATTGCAGAAATGTTTTAAATAGGTCTTATTAAAGGTTTTCATTGATTATTTAAGCTCATGCTATACCATTTGATTTGAGCTTTAACAAGGCCAATCTAAAATCTTTCTTTTGTTCTAACAGTATTTTGAGCCATTCAGTGTGGGATTTAATGCTGTTAGATGGATCATTACTGTGCTGCGTAGCCCAAATTGTCTTGAACTTTAGGACATAAACTGATTGTTAATTTCCTTAAGCTCAAACCGTGGACCTTCTACTCCAGAGTTTTTATATATGGATCAGTCATCCATGTCAGTGGTAGAAAACCATCACCACCATGTTTGATTGCTGGTGTGAGGTTCTTGTTCTACAATGCTGTGTTAGCTATAACTTCCAAAAAGTTCAACTTTTGTCTCTAGGGTTTTTGGGCGATTCTTACAAAAGTACCAAGGATTGTAACAATATGGTGTTTTTTTCTGGTCATCGGGGGTTTTGGCCTTGAAACTCTTCCATCAATACCATAAATATCATAAATGATATAATTGAATCATAAGGGGTAGTGGTGGCTATCTGGTTAGCGCATTGCACTTTGATTCCAGAGGTTATGAGTTGAAGCCCCACCCAAACAGACCGCCACTCTGGGTTTCTGAGCAAGACCCTTCACCCCCACCCTGCTCGCTGAGTGCCGCACAACTGCAGCCCACTGCTCTTAAAGGGGATGGGTTAAATGCAGAGAGTTATTTCGTTGCTCTGTCCTTGTGACAGTGTAATGACAAAGTTGAATTCTATTCTATAAACGCTGGTTGAACTAAAACATGCGGGGCCTGCAGTAGCATGCAGTTATTTTAGTGAGAGTTAATTTAGACAGACTGGCCACTAACTGGAAGGTTCATCAATGCTGGATAACTGCTACCACTGGATTTTACTGGAACCTTAACCCCTTTACTTTCCTCCACCAGATTCAGGTGGATCTGATGTGTCCCCACATTGAAAGACAGGCTTGTTTCTAATTAAGGCCCAACATTTGGTACCTCTATAGAATCAGTCAATCACAAAGAAAGTGACCATCAACTCAATTGTTTGCCAGCCATACACTACAAACACCAATTGTCAGGATATGTGGGGGTTTGTCGAGGATCCAAGCAGCGGTAGTTTTTGTTGATTTATTTGAGGATGTGGCAACAGAAGTATAAATCCAGGAGTACACAGGCCATGAAATAAAACAGATTAATAAAGAAGGTAACATCCAGGAGTTCATGAAGACAAACAAGCAATGAGAAAGTGCAGAGAGGGAGTATATATACTGGGGAGGAGAATACTGAACAAAGAATGGAGTAATTGACTAACTGGGAGCAGGTGTGGATAGAAAGAGCTTGAAGGGAACTGAGGGAAAAGAGAGTGGCACCAGGGGTAAAATAATACAACCAGGAAATGTCAATAAAAGGTCTTATATGTAACTAGATGGAACAGATATGACAAAAAAAATGAAAGGAGAATAATAACAAAGAAACACAACGTGACCAAGTGGAAAATAGTCTATGGGGGGAAGACTGGATAAACTTAGAAAACTATAAAGCCATGGAAAAAGATAATCCACAAACAATAACAAACGATAACAAAAAAACAATGAATTATGAAAAACTAGGGCAAAGACTAAATAAATCACAAGAATAAGAATGAAGAGTTATACTACGAAGTAAAGAAAACATGATGAATCACTAAAAAAAGAGCGCAGACCTCCACCAAGCCGCACATTTTCCCCGATATTGTGACTTACACCTATAACTAAAACACCCTCATGATCTGCGTAATTATGATGATTAATGAATTGTTCTTTGGCATGAGGCGCGCCTCTGATATAATTTCTTTGAAATCCTTTAATAAGTTCATAAGTAAGGCACAACTTGTGTCTGCAGCCTTTGGTGTTTGTTCTGCTCTCTCCTTTGATTTGCAGATTGAGACTTTTCATGGCTCACCTTACCTGTGTTTTTTTTATTCTTTGTCTTCATTATAATACCTACGGACTTTTTGAGTCCGATGCTGAAGCAGTCAATACTCACTGCTGCCCCTCTCTGGTTTAGAAGGGAACTGTTTGTTCTGCCAAAGAAGTTCCAGTATCTGGATCTTTATCTGGATCGCCACCAAACTCTTATGGTTATGGACTGTTGGACAAACAATCTCTTTAACCCTAAACCAAAAGAAATATTCAAAACCGGGCAGACTGTGAGTAAATAGGATTCAACACAGGATACTAAATGAAGACACAGAAAAATATAAACCTCCAAAAGTAAAACATGGAAAAATCAAATGTCCAAAGCAGCAGACCATGGCACCAATAAATAATAATATGTCATCAAATTAGATTTTATAATTTTCACTTCTTTCTCTTGATATAAATTGGTTCATTTTGTCCGTAAAACTCCAGAGTAAAAATATTAACCAATAGTATTTCCCCAGCAAATAAATATCAAAGCTCTTTTCTCTTTAATTAAAAAGTAAAAATAATGATATAAACACATATTGTGTTTGTAAATACTGATGTCTGACTATTTTTGATTATCTACATCAAGAGAGCTTATTCACTAATCTGTTTGCTCCCAATTTCGGGAGTAAATTTAATTTCCAGTATCCAGACTACTTTGGAAAATTTAGAAACTTAAGAAAAGCCCTGATATTAAAATATAAAAATGTATTTTTCTATATTTTTTCAAAGGAAAAAAATGTTTTGGACATATTTGAAGTTATATTCCTCAAATTGTGTAAAACATACCGTATGTACACACATCGCCAGAAGATCTTAGCTTTCAAATGGGATACATCACAAGCATTTGGGATTTCTAACATTGTTTTACTGGTCAATGGTATTTGGTTATGCAATACGTTTCTGCACAAGCTATAAAATGGTGGGTCTAAAAGGCTAATTGAACCCCTTTCCAGACTGTTATATATCAATATATGTGTTTCCTATGAGAGACCTTCATATTGTCTAAAAGACTCCAGTGACCTCTTTACTGGGGGTAGCTCTTATCAGGTCTAGGTGTGACAAGTGGAGATGAATTCAGAGTAAAAATGTTCAGGTTATGAGTGATGGAGGTCTCTATAACTGTTTGACATAGGGTCAGGCTGCTTTGGCTAGATTTTTTCCCTTAAATCAAAATATCTTTCAGAAACTGAATTTTGAAGAAATGCAATTTTTCTTTGTCTGAGGAAACATTTAAGTACCACAAAATAAATTTAAAACTATAATTAATCTGATCTACTTGCATTAGGCATTGCCTTTTCCCTATTTTTTTAGATTTTGAAGAAACGTTATCATTAATCATAGTCATTTTAAGTTCAGAACGTCTGGTCAAATTCAAATTACTCCATCCTAAAACAGCTACTTTGACCCCTGTAACCATTCATTTGTGGTTCGCTGGTTTATATTTCTGGATCTATATGGTGCTGAAATGAATATTTGATCTTGCTCTCCAGCTTGTTTCCGAATTTGCAGCCCTTCCCATCCGCGTGTCATATCAGTCACGTTTCGGGTGTAAATTTATCCTGTCAGATCTTGCAGTGCAATTAGAAAGCCCAGCCGTTTGTCATTGATAAGGCTGCAGCGGCTCCTCTGGGCTCCACTTTACTTTCAGCTCATTAAGAAGATTAATTATTGTCATGCAGTCAAGTTTGATACTCCTAGAAGATGCTTTATTAGCCTTCGGGTTTGGAGCTGACTGATTTGTTCTTCCGTTTGTTTAAAGTATGAATTCTGCATTCAGCTGTTTGATATTAAACCTGTCAGGAGGCCTGTTAAAGATAAGTCGTATCACTTCCCTGGAATGCAAGAGCTCAAACAAAAACTGGAAGCACGGTAAATGCCATCAGATACAGAAAGTGTTGCAAATGAGGATTCTATCGCAACCTGTTCAGAAAAGCCCTTCCACTCTTTTTCACTAACCCAAGTCCTGTCTGATCAAACATGCCATATGCAAACAGATGGGATACAATGTTTTGCATTGTTTTAGCCTCATAACCCAATGCATTCAAGTAACATCACAGTTTGGAAACGAGAAACTGT